TCGATAATCTAACTAATTACTTGAATGCAGCATTTGTTTTTCATAGCTATCCTCCTTCAATGACGCCATGAAGAATGCACCTATCACCCATAAATACACTAGCCTTGCATTCTTTATATCTTACCCTTTAATTTCTTTTTCACTACTTGATCCGATCGACTCCCATCCTTCTTTTTTCTCTTCCGCCATGGAATTCTATGGCAACGCCGTCTATGGCTTCACCGACGAAGATGCCAACACCATGCAACCATCCCCTCGCCTTTCCATCAAAACTAATCACCACCATCAAGAAATGTCCGACCCAGATCTCCAATTCAGCCCCACCACCAGGCCTTCTAGCCCTCGAACCGCCACCATGCTCTCAGCCATACCCCCAGCCAGCCCTGAATCGCCTTGGACACTCTCCCCCCTTCAAACCCCATCTCCTTCTCTCCTCTATCACTGTATCGCTTCCCTTCACCGCCACGAAGGCACCATCTACTCCGTTGCACTCTCCAAAGGGTTAGTCTTCACCGGCTCTGAAAGTAACCGTATCCGCATATGGAGGCAGCCGGACTGCATCGAGAGAGGTTATATCAAGGCCAGCTGCGGTGAAGTCCGTGCCATTTTAGCTTATGGTAATATATATATGTGTTAAAGTAAAAAAATCTCATACCATTAATAGCAGAAGAAAAATATAAATTAAATATAAAATAAATTACTGAACTTATTATTAATTATTTTTAAATTAGATGCTTGTCTTACTTTTTATTCTACACGTCACAAGTTAAATTAGGGAAAGTGTACACTCTGGTTTTATTTCAGGTAACATGCTCTTCACTGCACATAGAGATTGCAAGATCCGGGTATGGAACTACACCCTTTCCGATAGCTTCCGAAGTAAAAAGATCTCGACACTCCCAGGGAGAACTTCCTTTCTTCTTTTCCCCAAAAGAAGCCCCCAACAACACAGGGATTGCATTTCCTGCATGGCTTATTACCATGCAGAAGGGTTTTTGTACACTGGCTCATTCGACAAAACCGTAAAGGCGTGGAGGATTTTGGACAAAAAATGTGTGGATTCCTTCGTCGCCCACGAAAGCAGCGTTAACGCCATCGTCGTGAACCAAGACGACGGCTGCGTCTTCACTTGCTCTTCCGATGGATCGGTGAAGATATGGCGGAGAGTATACCGAGAAAACTCTCACACTCTCACCATGACACTGAAATTCCAACAATCTCCGGTTAATGCCTTGGCATTGAGTTCCACCTTCAACAACTGCTTCCTCTACTCGGGGTCCTCTGATGGAACCATTAATTTTTGGGAGAAAGAGAGAATGTCCGGAAGGTTCAACCATGGTGGGTTTTTACAAGGCCATTGTTTTTCCGTTTTATGTTTAGTAGCCATAGAGAAGTTGATATTTAGCGGATCCGAGGATACAACGATTAGGATATGGAGGAGGGAGGAAGGGAGCTGTTTCCATGAATGTTTAGCAGTGTTGGATGGACATAGGGGGCCAGTGAGGTGTTTAGCGGCTTGTCTGGAGTTGGAGAAAGTTGTGATGGGATTTTTGGTGTATAGTGCCAGTTTGGACCAGACATTCAAGGTGTGGAGGGTGAAGGTGATGCCCGAGGAGAAAGTGTACGTGGATTTTATGGAAAGAAGTGAGTCCAAATCGACCAAGGTTATGGAGTATGAAATGAGTCCGGTGTTGTCTCCTTCTTGGGTAGAGAAGAAGCTTCAAGGTAACCACCATTTTCAGTAACTTAGGAATGTAGGTTAATTTCAATACTGCTTTTGGCTTGCTTGTTCAATTTTCCTCAACAACCTTGTGCAAAGACTAGCCAAATAAAATCGTTTTTTTTTGGGTAAAGGGGCACCCTTTATTGCATTAGTTTGAAACCAATTAAACCCAAATTGGAGTTTTTGTACTATTCAAAAGATTTGATCAAGATCTAAATAATTTGAGCTTTAAGATTTCTAAAAGATTTAGAGTGCATTTGAGATTGTTTTTGAAGTATTGTAATTGTATTAAAAGTTATTTTGATATTTAATTATTTATTTTTTAAAAATATTAGAAATAAAATATAATAGATTTTAATAATTATTTATTAAAATTACTATAAATTTGTTATGGTTTTTTGAAGTTTTTAGAAAAAATAATATAAAAAAATTATCAAATACATAAATATTTAAAAATACTGTACAACTATGTACACCAAAAAAAACTCTTAACCGCAATACCAAAAATAACCTTAATAATTGGTATGGTAGAAAAAATGGTTATAGAATTAAATGTATGCCCCTTGATCTCTTCATTTCCATAATGACATAAATGTATAAAATTTATATCTTGCCTAGCTACAGACGTAAGCAAATTAATCTACACTAGTATTTTGGTGGGGGGACAGAAGCACATTGACTGTTCTATGTTAAATAAATAATAGTACCATTTTCTCAGGTCAGCTACTCCACCCACCACCTTAAATACATTATTAATATTTTTTATTTTTTTGCTTTTGCTTTTGCTTTTGGGTTCTCATTAGTGAATGCGTTTCAAATTTTCAACCCAATAATGTGATAATTTAAATCATCTGATAACACGGTTTGCTATTTACCCAAAAAAAAAAAAGGAGGAGGAATGAAAAAGGGAATAGGCCATCTGGGCCTCATGGCCCTCATATTATTTACAGCCCAACCCCAATTCCATAATAGCTTGGGGGTGTTTATGGGCCTGGCCCTTGAGCCTTGCACAATGTGCGCCCTCATGAGGTCAAAGAAACGGACCGTTACAATAATCCACAGAAGGCGCAAACGAATTCGGAAAGCACGAACCAGACCATCAGCGCTGTAGCTGAGTGACGAGGAAATTAATCAAAACATTGGCATCAAGACATGGGTATGAAACTGCAATGCAATGACTGGAAAGGTGCCATTGATTTTAATTATCTTGAGCCTCAGATGAGCCATGGATCCACCATCCATGCAATCAAGATCATACCCATATGGTTTTTAGAGTAATTAGATAAATTATTGGTAAAAAAAATACTTCTTCATTTATATGATTGGGATTTCAATACTCTTCTTATGAGGTTTTTGATCAGTTGGTTTGTTTCATGAAAAGAAATTTTAACACATTTCAATTTTTTTATTCAAATTATCATTGTTTTTAACTACTAAATTCTCAAATAATTTTTTTAAAAAAATTATTTTGTACCTTAAGGATACATGATAAAAATGTAATAAATGTATTTTTTTATAATTAATTTTTATTAAAAGTATAAATGTTAACTTTTATTTAATAAATTAACTAATTAAAATCATTTACGTGTTAATTATATTAAAATATAAGTCAACTTTTATAATTTTTAATGTGAATTAATTATAAAAAGATACATTTATTACACATTTAATTTATACTCTTAAAATACAAGTTAGATAAACTTTTAAAAAAATTACTAGAATCTGGTCTTATGCCTTAAATTGCAATTTTTATAAAAGTTTGTGTACACATTTTCAAGTTTTGCAAATAAATAAATAAAAATCAATTTCCTACCATATTTAGATAGTAATCGTGTCTTGCACAATTACAGCAAGGCTGCCGTTTTTTTATGTATCAGAGGTTCACTCACTGCCGCGTCCGGCCGATCTTGCATATGTACAAACGACAATGTATATGGCGGCGGGGGCCGGTGGCGCAGAGTTTCTGGACATAGGAAAATTGAATGCTCCAATATCTTTGCATGCGGCAATAAACTAATGGTTACATGCCAAATTATGTCCCTCAATTTTCAATTTTGAACAAAATTTGTCCCTCAATTATTTTTGCCTTTTTTTTTTCTGAACCATAAAAAATCTACTTTTTTTTTTTTGAAGTTATTCTTTTAATTATGCCCGTTAAAACAAACTTTTTGTTGACATGGCAATCAAAATAGCATTTCTTTTTGAGGGGGCAATGACAAAACATTACGGTTAAATTAGTTGAACAAGTTACAATGATATTTTAGGTGAAATCCAATATTCTAATTAGATTTTTCTTATATTGATTAATTTTAATTAAATAAAATTAATAATTCTTTTTTTCTTCTCTCCATGCCTCCTCAAAGTCCATTTTCATTATCATTTTTTAATTAAACAATCAATTCAAAATAATTGTTTTCTTTGTTGATAAATTCTATATAATTATCAAGTAACAAAATTACAAGACCCAAAAAATCTAGATTTAGCAATCAAAAAAAGCAACATTGGGTTTGAAAGAACCTAGGCTTGTTGGGTTCTTTTTGAAATTAGCCTAGGTTCAATTGAATCCAACCTTGCTGGGTTTGATCCCTAGCAGCAGGGAGGAAGAAGAGTGAAGAAGGAGAGGGAAGAAAGCGAGAATAAGAGAGAGAATGAGGAGGGAAGGAGTGAAAGAGGGAGAAGAATCAAAGATTTGGTGAAGATGAGAAAGAAGAAAGGAGGTTTTGAGGAAGAAGAAGAAACATTAGGGCAATTTTGTAATTTTAAATATTTTAGTTTATTAAAATTGTGGTTTAATATGTGACATTATTAGGTGAACATTTTTTTTATCCAACTAAGCAATCTTGCTGGTGTGTAATTGCAGTGTCATCAAAATAATTAAAGAAAAAATGTCATCTACAGCCATGTCATACTTAATTGACTGAAAAACTAAAATTGTGCATTTTTCAAAGTTTAAGGACAAAATGCAAAAAAAAAAAGTCAAAAGATGAAATTCATTTAAAATTAAAAGTTGAGGGACCAAATTTGACATTTAGCCTAAACTAATCTGTTTCACTAATGATAATGCCGCCTGGAGATATTTGTTTCTTGGAACTTATAGTCAATTGTTAATTTGCCTTCTCCACTAAGAATGCACCGAATTTAATCTGCTCACATCAATCAATTAATTAACCTCTTTCATAACGTCAAGACAGCATTTGCATGAAATATGCTAGGAATTCCTAGTCCATGCACCTCCACAAATTTTGGATTCACTCAAATGGCCGGCAAATCAATATTCCGATGAGAGTTCTTCAGATGACAGAAAGGTGATGAGAGAGCCGCTCCTCACTGCCGCCACCACTAAGGGTGGATTCAGAACCCTGCCTTTCATCTTAGGTACAGTACCCATAAATCAGAGTGATTTGTTTTCCCTTTTTGTTTTTGTTTCTTTTTTTTTGGAATTTTGATGTGTGAATTGGGTTGTATTTTGTTTAATACTAATATGTTTCTCTTTCAACTGGTTGAACATTTGTTCAATTAAATAGTTTGTTTGAAAAAGGAAGTTGAATTTAAGTTTGTTTATTATTAAGATTGGAGTGTGTTTTGATTTAATACTTGGAATCACAGAAAACTACGGCTAAAAAACAGGACATTAAGATAGATTCTTTAACGCTAGAGGGGATGGTTCTGTTATGGTGTACAACTATGTTTCCAGTTTCCACAAGCAAGGCCTCCTCCTTGTGAACAATTTAGTGACGTTTGTGAATCGCCAACAACATCCCAACTTCTACTCTTGCACTCTTCTTTTGGCTTAATGTCCACTGGAGCCGGAGGCATAAGGTGGTCTTCCTTAGCCTTTGGTGCGTATCAGTTGAATGCTGGAAACAGCCAAGAAAATACGGGAGCCTTGCAAAGTTACTTCATTTGGTACCATGCTTCAGTGTACCATCAGAGAAAGGATCAATGCTTCTTGTCCCAAGTGAAAATTTAAGGTGTGGATCTTGTAGTTGTAGTTCCTTCATATTCGACTAATTTAACTGAATCATAACTCTCATGAGTATTTTCTAACCTCATTTCAGGTTTCTGAATAAAGCTTGGGTTTTAAGAAATCCCAAAGAAGATGTGACCAACGAAGAAAATGCCTTGGATGAATGGAGGGTTTGCACAACAGATCAAGTGGAGGAGTTAAAAGCATTAATCAGGCTGATTCTACTCCGGTCCACAGGAATCATGTTTTCTATGACTCTTAGCCAAGGTTCATTTTCAGTGATTCAAGTTGGCTCCGTAGACCGACACATCACTCCAAACTTTGAAATCCCTGCAGGCCCCTTTAGCATCTTCCAACTCGTTTCTTTGGTGGCTCGAGTTTTTCTCTATGATCAAATTCTTCTCCCTGTGGCATCAAAAATCAAAGGGAAACCAGTTCCTCTTAGCTTCAAAGAGAGAATGGGGATTGGACTGAATTTTACTTCTGCATCCATGGCAGCAGTTGCAATTGTAGAGAGTATTGATCGGGAAATTGGTGTGGAACAAGGATTTTCGGATGATTCACAAGCCATAGTGCACCTTTCAGTAGTTTGGTTACTACCCTACCATTTCCCGGTTGGCTTGTCTGAGGCTTTTGTTGCAGTTGGGCAGACCACATTCTTTTATTCAGAATTACCTAAAACAATGTCTAGCATTGCATCCAATCTTTTCATATTAGGCATGGCTGCTGCAAGTTTGGTAGCAAGTTTTATAACAAGCACAGTTGATGATATTACCAAAAGATTAGGAGGAGAGAGCTGGGTTTCAAGCAATATCAACTAGGCTCATTATGATTACTACTACTGGTTTCTTGCAGGTTTGAGTCTGCTTAATTTTATTTACTTCCTAGCCTGTAGCAAAGCTTATGGTCCTTGTAAAGAAGATGAAGGTGAAATTTCCCCCCAAGGAGATGACATTTAGCGATGTCTCTGCGTGCTGTATAATGTCAATTAGTACTTCATTTCGGTTTCCATGTATATATATATATATATACTGAAAGTTGGGTTCTGGTATAGAACCTCTTTATTCTAATAAATACTGTTGTTACATTCATCATAGCTTCTATTCCGAAGATGGTCTTATTTGGTTGATAATTGCTGGATAAATGCTATAACTACTGTCACAGAATTATCTGCAGCAAGTGAAGTGAAAGTAGAAGCTTCATTAGACTCAGCAGATCCTCCACCAGCCAAGTCAGATAGAGCCCTAATAGCAATGAAAGGTATGTTTTGCTGCAGGCATATCAAAGCGACTGATGCACTCTCCATGTCCACAGGGCTCACGTTGAACTTACCATATAAGAAGCTCCGGTAAGCAGCATTATCTAAGTAAATGCCGCCGCTTGTTCCTCTGTAGACAGTCACCACTTTCGGCGTCTCAGACAGACACGTTGTGGCATTCACACAACCCTCCAATTTCAAGCCCTGATAGCATAAACATCCATCATGCTCGTGTACACAGGAGAATTTGCAATTGATTTAAACAGTAATTACATGGACTTTACCTCTAGTGATTTTGAAATGTTGAAGTAGCTGGAATTGACAGGAACCCAAAAAGCATGTTCCCTATTCTCAGGAGTTCCATATACGGGGAAAACTTCCTCTGGTTGGTACCAGACATTATTGAGAAGGTTGTCTGATGACTTACGTACAGTCTTATTTACCGTGTAATTTGCAAATCTGATGTACCCAATGTCTCTTGTATAGTCCCCATCTGATTCAAGGGCTAGCTCATCTTCAGGTCCATCTCCATGCCTCTGGAACAGATTACACGAAATGTTATATATGCGTAGCAAATGAGGCTTTAACACAAAATATGTTTTATGTGGTTTGAATAGAAATCACCTGCCAATTCCAAAGAGCTGTATGAGCCCAATACTGAGGAATGGTGACATCTCCAATGTTTAGGGAAGGGTTAGCATTTCCAGCTATTCCATAATGCACCACTCCTTCTATATTGAACAGAGCAAGTAGGAGCTGGGTGGTTATACCTGCATTAATCTACATTCCAATATTTGACAAAAGAGATTTTTCTTTTAAGAGAAGCATAATCCTAGTGTGTACCACAAGAAGAAGGGAAATGAGATGTTGAAGAGAGAAATACCATGCTCAATCCTGTCATGACTAATATGACTCTTTTCTCAGCAATGGTTCCAAACCTAAACCTCCTCCCTAAGACAAAACCCAGTCAGAAAACGAAAAACAAGTTGAGTTAAAAGGAGAAAACAAAAAGGAAAATTTTTTTGGTGTATATATTGTACCAGCAAAATCAATGGTAAAATTGGAGGATGTGTAGTTGGGATGCTGAAGAAGAGGGTTCATTTCAAAAAGGTTTGGAATCACCAAGCCCAAATAGGAGCCATTCGAATTGGCTTCATGGATCAATTTTTGTGTATGTGCTGGTACTGCACCATTTGCTTGGTGATCCTTAAGCATCATAAGAGCAAGAAGCATCATCAAAGCAACTCTCATGGCTGGCATCTCTGAAATGAGCCTTGTAATTCTTGAAAGGCTATTGCCATTAAATACTCCAAAACCAGTCCTTTCAATTATTACAAACCTGCTCTCGTAGTCCAATATATGTTTAATTAAAATGTGTACTTTCAATTTTAAAATTAGGATTCGAATCTTTTATTTTAAAATTATAATTTGTTTAAAATAAAATTATTATAAATTAGTATAGTTATGATTTTTATTTTTATTTTTTGATTTTTAAAATTAATTATTAAAAGTTTAAATTAACAACTTATTAGTTATAAATTTTTGACATGTAACCAGAGACTGCAAACCAGTAATTATCTTGTTCCGACGAGTAACAGCCACAATGGGATTTTTGGGTCCCTGATTGATCTGCTCAAAAAGATGTGCCTGAGCCAAAATTTTATAAAGACAATTTTCACCTGTAGAAATGAAGGCTGGACCATTCGCATTTTTGTTTTCTTCCTTTAAAAAAAAATCTAGCCATTCATAGACATAATCCAAATTATTTGATGTGATTCTGAGAATGAAATGATTTGAAATTTTGGAAGGGCCAGGCTCATCTTACGTGGAAAAGAAAACTGGTACGTTCGCATTTGTTTTCTTCCTTAAAAAATCACATTTCACAAACTAGCCTTTCAAGTCGATTGCCTATTTTCATAAAAAAAAACCTAGCCTTTCAAGTCCATTGCCTATTTTCATAGAAAAAAACAAGCCTGTCAAGCTTTTCCTTTCTGTTGCACCAAAAAAGACAGACATAAATTTACAGTGGGGAAAGACACTTTGAGTATGTAAAGTAATAGCACTCGAACTTTCTGGTTTAGTGACTTAAGAAGGTTAAGTATAGGTGTATTTTTTTTATTAAGATAATAGTTTAAATTTGATATTTTGTAAATTTATTAAAAAAAAAGTCTGTAAAGTAATAAAATATCTTTCAAATTGAGTCTGGTTTTCTATAGAATTAAACAATAGAATTAAAGCAAAACATGAAATTGTTTGATATTATTATATTAGTTGTTGTGAGAATATCAGAGTAAAGGTGTAAATACT